CTTTTTGTGGTGGCAAAGAATTGGAAATTGAGGGGATACCAATCAATTGGGGAATGGCTGAACAAATTGTGCTATATGAATGTAATAGAATAACTATTGCGCTATAAGAAATGATAATCAGGATGATTTCAAAAAAATCTGGAAAGATTTGTATGAATTGATGCTGAGTGAAGTGAACAGAACCAGGAGAATGTTGGAAACAGTAACAGCAACATTGTGTGATGATCAACTAAGATTAACTTGTCTCTTCTTAACAATATAATAATTCAAGACAATTGCAAGGGACTTATGATGAAAAAATAATTTTCACATCCAGAGAAAGAACTGATGAAGTCTGAATGCAAATTATTTTTTCCTGTTTTTCCCTTTTGTTCTGTTTCTTTTTTCACAAGTTGATTAATATGGAAATATATTTTACATGATTGCAAATATATAATCTATCAAATTATTTACCACACTAGGGAGGGGGCAAAATTTGCAAAAAAAAAAAAAAGGGAAGGAGAAAATTTGTAACCCAAAATTTTATCTAAAAAATATTAAAATCATTTTACATGTAATTGGAAATAAATTTAAAAAACTATTTAAAAGAAAAAAAAAGACCTCCCTGGAGGAAGAATCTACCACTTCTTGAGGTAGCTTATTCTTCTTTTTTATTGTTGTTATTTAATCATTTCAATTGTGTCCAACTCTTCATGACCGTATTTGGGGTTTTCTTGGCAGATACTGGAGTTATTTGAAGTAAGTAGGGTTAAGTGACTTGCCAAAGGTCATATTGCTGATAAGTGTCTCAGGCCAAATTTGAACTCAGGTGTTCCTGACTCTAGGCCTGGTACTCTATCCTCTACAACACCTAGCTGCCCCATTCCACTTTTGTACAGTTCTAATGGTGAGGAAGGTTTTTTTTTTTTCTGACATCAAACCTAAATAGAACTATTTGTGAATCCCACCCATTGTTACCTTCTTTGGGGCAAACCCTTTGTACATAACTCCTTACCTGCTTCCAATCAGATCAGATGAATAGAATGGAATGCAGCTGTCCTTGGTATTTTATTCAGTTTCACCCTGGTGTCCTTTTTTTTTTCATCACCCCCTTCCACCAAACAGCCACTAAACTTCATTGATTCTTCTTTTGTAATGTGACTAATGCCCATCCCTTCCCTTTAGTTCCCCATGTCAGTATCTTTTTCTCACCACCTCACAGCTCACTTGGGTAGCTACAGCAGCCTTCTCACTGAGTTCCTTGCCTCTAGTTTAATTTTTTACACCCATGCTGCACAGGTTTCAAGATCAATCTCACCGGAACACTGCCAACAGACTGACAATTCCCAGCTCAGACCCAACTTCATGGGTAGCCAATATCCACACACAGACGAAGAGTAGTGTACCAAAGGGCTCATTTTCTATCATATAATCCAGTTTGGCCTTTCAAGGGCCTGTTAATTCCTTCAGTGTATAGTCAATATTACAGCTTCTTATCATAAGTCAATAACTAAACAAACACTTACTAAGTGCCTACACTATGCCAGGCATTGTGCTAGTGTGGGACATACAAAGAAAGTCCCCACTGTCAAGAAGGTCACCATCTAACAGAAGACACAATATGAAACAATTATGGGGGAGAATTCCAGGCATGGGAGATAGCACTTGTAAAGGCACAGAACTGGAGAAGGAGTCTCACATTGGAGGAATGGCAAGGAAGCCTGTGGCACTGGATTGAAGAGTAATTGGGTGTAAATAAGACTTCATATCTGATCCTAGAGGAGAAAGGGAGTCATGGGAGTTTACTAGTGGGGGGTGGGGAGAGAGTGACATGATCAGACCTGCACATTTGGAAGATTGCTTTGACAGCTGAGTTCAGGATGTACTGGAGTGGGAAGAAACTTGTGTCATAGAAACTATTGCCATAGTCAAGGCATGAAGTGATGAGATACTAGCATGGTGGTAGTGTCAGGAGAGAGAAGGAGGAACATGTGACAGACATTACAAAGGTTAAATCAATAGACCTTGGCAACAGACTGGAGGTGGTGGTGGTGGTGGTGGTGGTGGAGAGGGAGGAGTTGAGGCTGATCCTTAATTTGTGAGTCTGGGTGACTGGTAGGAGACAAGTGAGGGCCTGGCCAGTGAAAATGCCTAGAACTGGGATATGGCATGTCCTGTCTGAGGAATAGCAAGGTGCCTGGTGTCACTGGATCACAGAGTGTATGAGAGGTTGTAAACATATAAAAAAACTTAAAAGTTGCAGGGACAGGTTATGAAGGGCTTCAAATGCCAAAAAGGGTTTTATATTTGATTCTGGAGGTGATAGAGAGCCTCGAGCATATTGTGTGTGCGTTTGTGTGTGTGTGTGTGTGTGTGTGTGTGTATGTGTGTGTGTATGTGTGTTTGGGGGAGGGCAGTTAGGTGGTGCAGTGGATAGAGTGCCAGGCTTGAAGTCAGAAAGATTCATCTTCCTGAGTTCAAATCTGGCCTCAGACACTTACTAGCTATGTGACCCTGGGCAAGTCACTTAACCCTGTTTGCCTCAGTTCTTCATCCATAAAATAATCTGGAGAAGGAAATGGCAAACCACTCCAGTATCTTTGCCAAGAAAATTCCAAACAGAGTCACAAAGAGTTGAACACAACTAAACAACAAAGTGTGGACAGGGAGGAGTGACATGGTCAGAACTGTACATTTTGGAAGGTGAATGGAGGATGGAGTCGGGTAGAGAGACACATGTGGCAAAGAGGCCAAATAGAAGTCTAATGCAGTAGTCCAGATGTGAGGTGATGAGGGCCTGTGCCGGGGTGGTGGTAGTGTCAAAAAAGTGAAGGAAGCATATGAGAGAGATGTAACAAAGGTGAAATCAGTAGACGTTGGCAGCAGACTGCATGAGGTAGTGAGGGAGAGCAAGGAGCCAAGGTCGACTTCTAGCTTGAGAGCTTAGCTTACTAGTAGGATGCTAGTAATTTGGACAGCAATAGGGAAGTTTGGAAGGGGGGGATAATTTTGGAGGAAAGAGGATAATGAATTCACATACCTTTGTTTTCTATAGATAGTTTAAAATTTTAATTTTCCATTTCATTTATAGTATCAGACAATCTAAGTTTTTGTTGTACACAGAAGAGATAAAAGTGTCAGGAGGAGAAATGGGGCTTTGAACTCCCAAAGTAAAGAAACTAAGATCCCTGTTTGAATAAAAGTTTGAAACAAACTTTTATTAAGGACCTACAGTATGCAGAGCACTATGCTCAATGCTGAAGGTGACACCAAATTTAGCTAAGACCTAGTTCTTGCCTTCATGGAGCTCACAGTCTAATAGATGGATATGGCAAAAGCAAGGATAACTGTTGTTTAGTTGTTTTGCAGTCATGTCTGACTCTCTGTGACCTCATTTGGGGTTTTCTTAGCAAAGGTACTAGAGTGGCTTACGATTTCCCTCTCTGTTTCATTTTACAGATAAGGAAACTAGGGCAAACAGAGTTAAGTAACTTGTCCAGGGTCACATGGCTAATAAATATCTAAGGCCAGATTTGAACTCAGGAAGAAGAGTCAGAAAGACTTTGGGCTGGGCACTCTATCCACTACACCACCTAGTTAAAATAGGAGTTAGAGATATTTCGTGGTTTGAAGGGAAGCTTTGGTGTCATCTCACAGGAGACAAAGTAATTTGAGGGGAAGAGCCTGATGGTAAACAGGGAAAAGCTTCCTCTAACAAATGTGATCTTTGTTGCTAAATCCCCCCGAACCTGCAAGAGCATTTTATGGAAACAAGTCCCAGGAGAGGTAGAAGAAACATTCAGACATAGAAATACCCCAAGTGGAGATATATCTTTTTCTTTAAGAAATTGGGAGAAATGAATTTTTAAAAGCTACAAAGTTGTCCTCTGTGTTTATGTGGGACTGAATACGCTTTAAAAAAAATCATCTGCCAGGATTCTTAAATGCATGAATACAAATTCAAACATTTAATTTACATTTAAATCCATAAATATGCATAAATAATATATTACAACATATCAAAAAATCTTAACCTCAGGAGATAATGATTCACTTTCCTTCTATAGCACTATAAGGTTTACTAAACACTTTTTTCATGACAGATCAGTGAGATGGGTCATACAAATATTGTTGTTCCTACTTTACAGATGAGGAAACTGAGACTGAGAGGTTAAGTGTCTTTCCTATGGCCACATAACTAGAAAACATAAGGTTTAAGCCTAGGGCTACTGCCTTTAAACCCCAAACTCTATTTACTATGCCATACTGCTTCTAAAGATCATAGGTGCCTCCCTGGGTAGTAAAACCTGAACTGAGTATTGATAGCAATTCTTTCAGTACAAGACCAGACACTACTGTTTGAGTCCATTTTGTCTTTCTCTGAATCCTAAACACAATCATCCCAGAGCATGACTATAGCATCCCTAGACTTTACTATATCCTGCGTGAAAGGCCCCTATCAGGGCCAGGTGAGATGGAACAGAAAAATATGTGTCTCTTCACATTTACAATATGAGGGCCTGGAACTCAGTCAGTCAGTCAGTAAATTAGCTTTCACTAAGCACCTACCATGTGCTAGGCTGCTATGTTAAGCACAGTGGATATAAAGAAAGGCAAAAACAGTCATTTCTCTCAAGGAGCTCATGGTCTAAGACCCTTTTTCAGGTAAATACATCTGATACTTGTGATTCAGAGAAAGCACAGATCAAAATTACACGTCAAAGCTGTATGTGAACTCCAAAAGACTCATGATGGAAAATGCTGTTCACATCCAGAAAAAAGAACTATGGAGTCTGAATGCAGATAGAAGCATATTATTTGCTTTTTCTCTTTTTTTTGGTTTCTTCTTTCTCATTGTTTCTCTCATTGGTATTAATTATTCTTTACAACATGACTAATGTAAAAATAGGTTTAATATCAATGTATATGTTGAGCCTATATTCATTTACATGCCGTCTTGGGGTGGGGGGAAGGAAAAGATGGGGAGAAAATTTGGAACTCAAAATTTTGTGGAAGTGAATGTTGAAAACCAAAAATAAATAAATAAATTTACAAAAAAAAAAAAGAAGTTGCACATGAGGTGCTCTCACACTGGTCCACATGGTGGAGGCATGAATGCTTCAAGAAGATAACCAGGCATCTTCTCTGGGGTAAATCATTCTGGGAACTAAACAGAAGCAATGAAAAGCTGTTAGTGTGGAAGGAAGAACACTAGACTTGAAATCATAAGACTCAGAATACTGAAGTTTGAGTTCTGACCTCTGCCACTTACTTCCTATGTAACCTTGAGAAGCCCATTCTGATAGCCATTTTTCTCATTTGTAAAATTGGGAGAATAATACTTGCACTATTTATCACACGGGGTAGCTAGGTGGCCCAGTGGATAGAACACTGGCCCTTTAGTCAGGAGGATCTGAATTCAAATCCTGCCTCAGATACCTCCTAGCTGTGTGACTCTGAACAAGTCACTTAACCCTATTTGCCTCAGTTTCCTCATCTGTAAAATGCGCTAGAGAAGGAAATGGCAAACTACTCTACTATCTCTGTCAAGAAAACCCTGAATGGCCTCATGGAGAGTTGGACATTACTAAAATAATTCAACAACAACTTATCACATAGAAATTATTTTGCAAACTGTAAAGCAGCACATAAATATGAGCTTATATAAATGTGGAGAAGGAGCATGGTACAGTAGAAATAATACCGGAATTGATGTCAGGCAAGATAAGTTCAGATCCTCTCTGACACTTACTAGCTGTGTGACTATAGGTAAATCACTTCTCTCTGGGTCCTAATCTTGCCCTCTATTAAATGGGCATAATAGGACCTTTAGGCAGCCATGAGGTGGTATCAAGAGCACTGGATCTAGAATCAGAGAACCTGGGTTCAAACCCCAGCTCTTCTCACTTATTGGGTAGTTTTAGGCAAGGTCCAAGATTTGCTTTGTACTCACCTCAAAGGGATGTCCTCAGGATCCAATGAGGTCATAGAATTAGATCTGGAAGGGAACTCAGAAGCCACCTAGTCCAATCTCATTTTACTGATGAGGAAACTAAGACTCAGAGAGGCAGTCAGGTGGCACAGTGGCTAGAGTGCTAGACACAGAGTCAGAAAGACCCGAGTTCCAATCCTGCCTCTGACACTTACTAGCTCTATTGCCCTGGACAAATCACCTCCTTAACCTCCTCAGGCTCAGTTTGCTCATTTGTAAAAATGGAGATAATAATAGCACCAACCTCCCAGTGTTCTTGTGGGAGTCAAAGGATATATGTAAAGTGCTTTACAGTTTGAAGGCACCATACTAGCTATTATAAGTGACTTGGCCAGGGTCATACTGGTTCTAAGAGACAGAGGCAATATCATGCGTGAAAAGTGTTTTATAAAGTTCTACATTAATTCTGGTTCTGATAATATTCAATACTTCAGAGCTCTATGTGGGTACTCTCTCAAAGGACACAGATGTCAATCCCTCCACAACTTAGGCCATAGTTGCTGTGCTTGGGGAAAAAAATGTATATAATCCTCCTGCAGTCAACCTGCTAATGAGTCTCTCTGAACATGTCTAAGAGGGGTCCTTGGACAACCAGTGCCCACTCCTCATCTAGAACTACACCCCCAGCCTTTCGAGCTTGATGGGACCTGCCAGAGATTGTGCTCCACTGACATAGTATTTTTAAAATTTATTTTATTTTTAATTTATGGAATAAAACAAGCATTTCCATAACATAGTATAATAAAAAAAAAAGATGATTGCATGTGAAACTGCAAATCTATTATGTACAACTTGATATCCCATTTAAATATATAATAAAGTTATCGGGTAAATTTCTTTTTCCCCCTTTTTTCCTTTTTTTTCTTCTTTCCCCCTCCCCCCATAGCTATGATTAGATACAAAAGGTATAAGAAATGATGAGCTCAAAGATAGTCTTAGAACCTTGCTGAGGAAAGTTACCTCCAGGCTATAGTGAAGCGTCTGAGGAGAGAGTGAATAATAATAACAACAACAACAACAACAGCTAACACTGGTATAACACTTTAAGGTTTACAAAGTGCTTTACATATGTTATCTTACTCGATCCTCACAACAACCCTGTAAGGTAGGCAGTATCATTATCTGCATTTTACATATGAGGAAACTGAGGCACAGAGAACTTAAGTGACTTGCCCAGGGTCACACAGCTAATAAATATTTAAGGAAAGATTTGAACTTGGGTCATCTTGACTCTAAGTCTTTGGAGTTACTATGCAGCTTGATGGCTCAGTGGATAGAGCACTGGGCCTGGAGTCAGGAAGACCTGAGTTCAAATTTTGCCTCAGACACTGTGTGACCTTAGGCAAGTCACTTAACCTCTATTTGTCTTAATCCACTGGAGAAGGAAATGGCAAGCCACTCCAGCATCTCTCCCAAGAAAAACTTTCGTACAATATGGTCCACTGGGTCGTGAAGAGTTAGACATGACTGAACAGATGGTCAAGTAGCAAGCTTTGGGGGCAGTTAAGTGGTGCAGTGGATAGAGTACAGGGCCTAGAGTCAGGAAAACTCAAATCCAGCCTTAGACACTTACTAGCTGCGTGACCCTAGTCAAGTCCCTTAACCCTATTTGTTCAGTTTCCTGATCTGTAGAATGAGCTGGAGAAGGAAATGGCTAACTACTCTAGTATCTTTGCCAAGAAGACCCCAAATGGGATTGTGAAGAGTTGAACATGACTGAAAAATGACTGAATAATAACATCTTGACTCCAAGTCCAATGTTCTTTCTACTGTGTTACCAAACTGTGGGATATGAGCTATTAATATTGATAATTATAATACTAATTACACAGGAAATTCTCTGAACGGATGATGGGGTCCAAAATTGTTACAGATAACTTAGATTATCAACATCATCATCATCAAACATTTACTGACTCACTAGGGGTCTTTGCTTGGCACTGAGAGAGAAAAAGATGAAAATGAGAACAGCCCAGAGGCTGCCCTCCTAGAGCTTATAGTCTAATGAGGGAAATGAGAAATAAATACAAAAGGAGGGAGAAAATGCAATACAAAGTAGTATGTAGTCAGGGTCAGGTGAGCAGGACAAGATAGTACATGCTGTGACAATCAGAGGAAAAGGGATCACTTTAGATTGAAGATGAGAAGAAATCCAGGAAAGCTTCACAGAGGAGGTAGTATTAGAGGAGGTGTTGAAGGATGGATGGGATATAGATAGGCAGAGTGAGAAGAAAGGGTTGCCAATCAGGATGGGAAGAGGGGAATGTCTCTTGCTGATGTGGGGAGTCCAGAAAGTATAAAGCACAAGAGGAACCGTGGGGAGAGATTAAGGCTGAAAAGACAGATTGAAGGGAGACTATTAAATTCTGTAGGGAAGAATTTTGTTTTTCTAGAGTGCCAACCATGTATCTCAAATCATTTAAAGTTCTAGATTGGGGGCTGACAAGGATGGGTCTACATTCTTTCCTCTGTAAAATGAGGGAGTTGGAATACATGACCTTGAAAGCCTCTTCCAGCCCTGTCTATGATCTGGTGGTTGGTTCCATGTCCTAGGCCTTCATCCCTGAGAACACTACAGACTGGAAGATGAAAGGCTTTACAAACAGGTTTACACCACGGGCTTAAACAGACTTTCTTCAGAGAAAGTTTTGTCATTGAATTGTGGGGGACCCTTACATGCTAACACATTACCAATATTATTTGGAAGTCAAAAGAGCATTGACTTTATATTTGTATAGTGTTTTAAGATTTCTCAAGAGAACAATATGTACAGTAATAACAATATTGTTTTAAGGATGACATTGAGTAAATACGTCATTTTGACTACTACAAATATCCAAATTAACTATAAAAGACATATGAAGAAAGACACTATCTGCATCTAGAGAAGAAACATAAATATAAGTATATAGAATAATTTTACATACATATACCTATTTATGTCTAATGGTAGTCCTAATGGTGGGGGGAGGGAAGAAAAAAAAGAAGAAAAGAAAATTGTATATTTAAAAGAAATAGTGAGTTGTACATAATAGATTTGCAGTTTCATGTGCAATCATCTTTTTTATTATACTGTATTATGGAAATGCTTGTTTTATTCCATAAATTAAAAATAAAATAAGTAAATGTGTGAAAAAAGGATTTTTCAAAGTGCTTTCTTCACAATAACCTTGTGAAATAGGCATTTCAAGTATTAGGGTCACTTTACAGATAAAGAAACTGAGGCTTCAAAGGTGAAGTGTCTTGCTCAGGTCACAAAAGTAGTATCAGTATCTTCACATTGAATCCAAGACCTCTCCTGAATCCAAGTCTAGTCTCCTTCCCATGACCTTACAGTATCTAAGTGGCCAAATATGGCTGTCACCTGCTCTTATAATTTTGCTCATGCCATATGACCTCCTGTCTATAACACAGCTCATGGACACTATAGGATTATGGGCGTTATCTGATTTCTGTCCTGCTTCTTTCTCCTCTTACCTTTTATTTCTCTACCAGAGCTATTAGAGAGTGGCTCCCATCTCAGTAAGTTCAAATGTATGACTCAAAAAGTCCTAAACTCATTGGATGTAGCCACAAAATTTACAACTGTCTTCAAAACGAGATCATTGTGTCAGGGTTAGGCTCATATTAGCAGCCCTCAGACTTGGGAATGACATTCAATAGGGTTCTGAGAAAGGAAGCCAGACGTTGAATGGATCACTTCTATGATCAGCCCGATCATCACAGTCAATGATAAACAAGGCCTTGGGGCCTTGGGGCTATAATTCGCTAGGACAGAAACATGAGGACAGTTTCCAAGAGTTATTTTCTTTTTTGGTGCATTTTTATGTCTGTGCATATGCTCACAAATGTGGATTTTTATATGTGTGTTTTAAATAAGGGACCTGTTAAAAAGCAACATGAAACCATAATGATAGCTGACATTTTTATAGTGCTTTAAGTTTTACAAAGTGTTTTGAGTACCTACATTATTTCACATGATCGTCATAGAAACCCTTTCATGTAGGTACTTCAGAAATTAAGATCTCTATTTTACAGATGAGAAAACTGAGGCTCAGCAAAGTTATATGACTTGCCCACAGTCAAATGGTGATTAATTGTTAAGAGCCAATTTTGAAGCCATGTCTTTTCTGACTCCAAGTCAAATGTTCTTTTTGCTATATACATATATAGAC